TTACAGTGACTTTCCTTGCCATTTAAAGGTGAAGAGAGATAAACTTGCGTTGATTATTCGTCGATGGAAGTGTAAAAATGTCGAAAGATTGACGATTACCGCTAATTCGTTCACGAAAATAGATCGACTCAACGGATTCCGCCGGCTGTGGCGGTCTGGATGAGAAAATTCCACCCGCTCCAGGAGCCAATCAGATTGCAGGATTTGTTGAATTCCGTACGCTCGCGAGCTGAGAAAAAGATAATATCCTCTATCTTTTTCTCGGCTCGTGAGCGGGCGGAATTCAACAAATCCTGCAATCTGATTGGTTCCTGGAGCGGGCGGAATCCGTCGTGTTGATCTATTTTCGTGAACGAATTAGCGGTAATCGTCAATCTTTCACCCCTTTTACACTTCGGTCGACGATCAGTCAACGCAAGTTTATCTCTATTCTCCTTTAAATGGCGAGGAAAGTCACTGCAGTAAGTAAATTCGATTGAGTTTTTTTGAAGTTTTGAAAGTTTGTTTGGCTGATCCGTGTAGAATTTGTTTCGCTGTAATGGCGCGTAATCCTGTGTCTCTCTCTATACAATTTTAAGCAAAAAATGAGTCAATTTCAGTCGAGTTTACTTCTCTGATCGTTGCTGTATTTGAGAGAATTTCTGTCGAATACACTCAACGAATTTCCTCGCTATCTATATCGATGATTTCACCGATATTAAGTTTGTCTCTTAAATTGTACTTAAATTCTTTGTTGTCTGATTTAAACATCTCCGGGTCTTCCTCGAAAGTCTTTGGCAATCTTCGGTAATCTTCGGAAATTTTCGAAAAATGTTCAGCAACGTTCGTGTGACCTTCGGACAAGTTTTGGAAAATGTTCGGAAATTTTCGGAAGTGGTAAGAAATCTTCGGAAAATCGTCAAAAACTTCGACATCAGTATGTCTATATGATAACTTCTCGCCACCGTGTTATATTCTCTATTTATGCAGACTTCAACTGCGTTCTTTAGGAATTCTATTCAAACTACTGTAAGGCAACGGGGTTTTTAGGAATGCGTAAATTAGATACGACAAAACTGTTGTAAAATAGGAAACAAATGGGAGCACTTCTGTATATTTCCTGTTTTCACATGGGAATGTGACACAGGATTTTGTAGGAGAATATGAAAACTTGCATGTAATTTCAATGATTTAAAACAAGAACGAAATTTACTTTTTCCAATTACAGCTATCTCCATTTAATGAAGTGGACTTGCTCTGTCCGGGATTTGGGACAAAAAAAAGTTAAAAAGCGATAACTTTACCATTATGACATAGCAAAGCCATAAAATTAAATACAACGGAATGCGAAAATACCAACAGAACCTAGAGCCTCGGTTCGAGCAGGGCATAGTACAAAGGACACCTTATAAACAAGATATGGTCAACCCAGCGCTTATGCTTATTTTCTTTGTGTCTAACGACTATTCTTTGTACCCTAAGGTCACAAGGCTAGTGAAAGAAGTAAATTGCCAGTATACCTTCGGCGTCTTTACGAAATGGGACGAATGTACAAGAAAAGCACAAGAAAGCGAAGATACGGTTGATTTGGAACAAGCACGCAAAGATTGCAAACAGAATTTCGAGGATGCTTTGGAGAAGCAATGCGAAGTGTTCTTTGTTGATGTGAGATGTGAAAACAACAATTACGTAAGTCTTTTGTTTCTGTTCTTTTACAGTATGTTATTATGCACTGAATGTTACTACGCCTGAATAAAAGCCAACAGCCAAATTTGATCCGATTCTCCAGACTTCTCTTATAAAGAAAACAGGCAGACATACTGGGGTAGGATAAAAAAAAGAATAATGTCGACTATTATAGCAAGAATTTCCCTACTTATTTTACTAGTAAGCCGTAAAGGAACAACCCAATCAGGAGTGGACAAAGCACAACAATGTTTGTGTATCCTTGCTTTAGGTTATCCAGTCAAAGTAAGTCTAAGTGAATGCCATATACAGTACTATAAGGCTGGCGTTTCCTTTGTACACAAAATTTTCATTGCTGGGACCATGTCGGCTGGTTTCTAAGCGCAATTAAGACCATTATTTTATCTCTCAGTTACTACGCGCGCTACGATTCGTCAAATTAGTTTAGCGGGTCATATTCTGCTGTACGGTCCGCTAAAATTGGACGCTGTTTTTGACGTCAAAATGTCTCATAATTTATCGCCAAGTTTTCTTGATGTTCGTAGCAAATAAACCGTTTTACTTTCCGTTTTCGTAAAATTTTGACGACAAATGTTAAAACGTTTGTGCGAACGACTTAGTAGTCGAGGAGGAGATTCCCAAAATGGACCTAGAAAATGCCTTACGTAGCAACCCCACTACGCGAAAGGTTTGACTCCTGATTATGATAGCCTGATACCTATAAACATTGTGGAGGTCAGTCAAACCCACAAATTGTGGGTTCAGTGGTTTGCTACACGTCGATTGGGGTGCTTTTCGTTCCACCTATATCTCCGGTACTATCAAACCAAATGATGTGAAATTTGGAGGAGAGATGTAACTTCAGGCCTAAGAGAGCAGGTACCTCAACAACCAGAGGTTGCAAAACGTGCAGAATCCTTTATAAGATCATTGTACGCTCCCTCATCAAGAGGAGGAACAACAACAGATGACGTAAGGCAAGATGATATCATTAGATGGTGTATTTATCCTCATTTTTTGTCATTTATATATTCAGATCTACAATTGCGTCTAACCCCAGTAAATATGCCACTCAACACACAGGATGGATTGCTTCGCAAGTGAGATTCATATCGTGATATTAACGAAAAATTGAATTCTAAAATAGGTACTGGGTGTTTTGCCAGAAGAAACAGCCCAATGAGGGTCTTCCCCCTGNGAAAGTTAACAAACAGTCCTGGACTAAGCGAGGCGGAACTGTTGTTTGAAGTATTTTGCAACAGAATTTTGCAGCCTGCCACAGTGATTAAGAAAGCGCTCGTGACTCACATTGCTGGGCAATAATCCTGTTTACATTATTTGGCCCCGATGTGCATCGAGATCAAACTTTTAGATGGATAATATAGCTCCTTAGCTATTTTGGTCTGCCCACTAAGAACGGGAAGCCATGGGACTGCCATCGTGGGTCCATGCCAAGTTCTGTCAAGTTCGTAGAATAAAAGCGCCACAAGTATCTACACGTAACGTCTACCATAATTCAAAAGAAACGTAAGCAAGCAAACAATTTGTCATCTGTAAGGCTTAATTTGGGACATTTTCTTAACTTTTTGAATCTTCTAACATAGCATTTGGTCTGTTTAGCTCATAGCATTATCTGCTATGCAATTAAAATAATTTTCATACAAACCGGCTTGAGTTCCTGAGAGACCAGCGACGTCTTACTTGGCGCCGAGCCTTCATCGAGTCCTCGCCGCGGATTTTATCCTATCACAATCTTGCTAAAACTTGGGCACAATGCCAAACACTGCGACGCATCATATACTCACATCAAAACGGCTTTTTTGAATTTCACTTCTTTTTTACCCTCTGTTCTCTTGTACGCTCTTGTGAGAGGTGCATGCATTGTGCTACAAAGAGTCCTAGGGAACGCAACAACTCTACAAAGGTTTAAGCGGGGAGGCTCCGCCCTGAGGTCCAACCCCTTACCCTTTTGAATACCATTTTGACAGAAACGGTACCCTTTTCGTATACCTTTCATTGAAAAAAAGGTGCCCCTTTCAAATACTGTAATAACTGGCCCGTTTTAAGAATAAGTCGCCAAAAAAGGAAGTCTTCTTGTCATCTTCATGTCCTGCCTAATTGCCGGTTTTCATGTGACGTTATCATTTTCCAAAATTGATAATAACCAATTCTTCTAAAGTTTTGCTTTGATCAGATGGAAGAACCTCTAATAGAGGACGTTTAAATTTCCAAGTTTTTGTGTTGCGTGACTTTAAAATGGCTTCCCGAGAGGGCTCTTGCGTAGGTCAAAAGGGGAATTAATGCTGAAGTTTTAGCTAACTGAACAGTTCTTGCACTAGAAGAATTATTACTTTCAATGTTTCGGAACTCTAGAGTATAATTTTTTTGTTTCAATGCCAAAACTCAATCCTAGATATTTCTGTTATTTTACGGCCGCCATGTTAGGGCCCCTCGGAAGGGCACCAAGCTGGCGTCTCCATACAAAGCTCTATAAATTTGAGTAAAACACTTTTCTGAATAACGCGCGAATGAAAACCACACAGATCTAAATCTGGGCGAGGTTGTTTATATATCAATCATTTATCATATCCCAGATTCTTGACTTAATTTTTTGAATGGTTACTAATTTTATTTTCATTGCGTGACAGTGTAAACCTGCAATAAATGACAGGGCCATATGGTGCGTCTGTTCGAAACATGTGAATTAAAGGCCCTTTAAACTAACTAAATGAGAGATTTCCCTACCCTTTCATGTGCCCATACTTGTACTTGTATAATCGTGCCCATTTTCATACCTGAAGCCTGTAAAAGGTACCCCTTTCGGGCGGCGCCACCCCCCCTATAGGCTATTATAGGGATTATCCCTCCCCCCGGGCATTTTAGGCAGTTTATTCACAAGGCATTCCAGCGGAATTCATACCATGTAAACTAAAACCGTTGGTTTTCATCCAAACGCTTATAAATTGAACCTGCAACACAATCAGAACCACCTTCGAGCATCGCGCAGAATTCCGCGACACATCCGGGACCTTTTCCATCGCTTGTAGCGCTAAATTTGAAATCCCGTGAGTCAAAAGACGCAAAACAGTAATGAAAATGGCCGAAAACGGTGTAACATCATCGACTGCTCCTTGCCATTTTTTCATTCTATGCAGCACACTGATCTGATCGCTTAGGTACACTAGGGCATTTAAAGAAGAGGTATTAAGCTCAGTTTTGTTCTAAACATTTTTCTAAGCCGTTGATCCTGGATAAGGTTTACCAAACTGCATGATCTTGAAAATGCTCTAGTTTTACTTGTATGAATGAACGGTTCATTCATACTGTGATTATTGCAGTATTGACTCATGTGCAATTTACTTTTCGGTGCTAGATGACAAAGTTCCGTTAGGAGGGAACACATTACAAACTGGTAAAACATGGTAAACATGTTCTGTGTCTTTTCTTTTTAGGAGGGGTTTAAAAAGTTTGAGAGTGAACTAGCAGCTAGTGCAACTAAATTAAAAGGTGAATCTCTAATAAAGCAAGCAAAGTCTGTAAATAACAAATCAATCGAGATCGCTGGAAAGTTAAAAGGCATCGTTGACGCCAGAAAAGAACAAACGGCAGCTAGTATAAAGAAGAAAGCAGATTCCGTGCAAGAATGCAAGAATTCTTTGGAAGAGATGAATCGTAGTTTCAAAAGCGCAGACGAATTGAACGAGGGTGCTTTTAAAGAAGACACACAAAACGAGCTTTTGAAAGATTTTGGAGACGGAGTTAGAGAAGGTAAACCAGAAGATGAGGTTCACGCGGAATTTATTGCCAAGGTAGACGAATACACCCGAGACACTATGGTCAACCAAAGACATAAAATAAGAAGTGCTTTCACAAAATGGGCAGAAGATCATAAATGGGACTTAAACATGAATGAGTTTGTGTCGGATAAGATTCCGCCGTGGGAAAAACAGGGATTATCACAAAAGGAGTACGATTGGAAACGGGATCCAAATGCGTATCTCACAAACAACTACCTTAGTGCAGCCGCATTGGCTGGAGCAGTTTTTGGTGGAGTATTCGTTGCAGGTGCAGGTGTTGGTAAGTGTTTCTCTGATATGAACATATTGTGATGGGAGGGGGGATATGTAATGGTAATATTTTGTATAGATTTTCCACAGTCATATGGTTATAGTTACCTAGGACGACGAATAATGTGTCTGAAACGTATATGATACGCGTAAGACCTATTAGGCGCCTACATCAGTGTTGTCAATGAGTATGTACCCAATATATAGTAATGATTAATTGGCACAGGGTCCAGTGTCGTGTAATTTGGTTTGTAATCATACTTTGTTAGTCGCCCGAATGATTACAGAACGAATTGAGTGCATGCCACCCAATCCCATTCCCATTACATATCCCCTACCAGCCTCTTTGAAGTGATAAATCATGTGCCTGGTGAAAACCAGAAATTTTCATTTCTCAGTAACAAGTAACGATATCTTTAGGAGGTAGAACATTATATCTTTAATGGGGCGGGGGAGGAGAGGCTTTGATCAAAAAAGGTTCTTGCGCAGGGGAAACTGGAAAAAAAAAATGCAAAAGACGTCTAGAAAACTATCGAGAAAGCCTTTCTACTATTCGGGTCCTGTGGTCGTATTTTTGATCGTAGAGGGGCTTAACGGTAAAAAAAAAACTCTAGTTCGAACAGGGAAAGCCTTCTCATTCTGTTCATATAAATTTAATAAAAAATGATTGTCACCAGAACAGTTTTGCTACGCTGGCGTTATGATTTCATTGCGAAATATATATTAAGTCTCTTAAAACAGAACAAAAACGATCGAAACTGGGATTTCCTACGAATTTTTTTTTCAACAAGTAAACAGAGGATGCGTTCCATTCGACCAAAAATTCCGGTTTAAATTTCCGTTATTTCGTATGTCGAATGGAACGGTATTTTCCACCAGGCAGGGCCGATCTCGTTCCATTCCCGCTTGGGTACATTTCCCGCCAAGATTTACTCGACAAACTGCTGGAGGATCATGATGAAGTGGCTGTCCTAAATGCCGTACGCTGCCTCATGCAAAGAAGTTTAACACGCATTCACATTTATTTTAAGCAAACTCTTCCTTGATATTTACCTGACCGATTCAAACTTCATTTTCGTGTGATGAGAGAAACTTGCGAACTTTTCTCACGGGAGATTATGCAAAGCGGGCGAATACCCAGAGAAAATTCGGAACGACCAATCCACAATTTCCCACAAAATCAGATCCTAACCTTTTTGTGGATGATAGGCAATCAGGAACAGGCTCGAACTGTGACAGATCGTTTTGCATCCAGACTAGTGTGGACTCGCTGCCATCTTGTAGCTTTGGTCGAGGCAAAATTCGCGACTGGAACAACTAGGGCCGACTCATGCCGGATAGAAATGCCAAATTAAATGGAACAAGAAATTTCCGGAACTTCCAAATTTCCAGAAAAAAAGGACAACCTCGAGAGGTTGACCAAAATTTTCGAAACGAATTTCCGGAAACTTTCTGTTCCATTCGATTTTAAACCGGAATTTCCGGAAATTTTGGTCGAATGGAACGCGCCCAGAGGAATCGCATTTGCGTTACCATGGCGACCGCCGGTTGTCAACTAAGATTAACGTACGCTTCCTATTGTCTCAGCGAAACGAAGCTTTAGTCAAAATGTTCTGAGCTTTACGCTTCCAAAATCTATTCAATACACGCAATTCAATAACTAATCGAGATTCTAAAAATAAAAACGGCGATCCGTAGCGAATTAAGTCGCATTTGAACATCATGCGTGCATATTGCGAAGCTCACGCAAGTTCGCTTTCCTCAAATTTTCGCTTCTAATTTCGATATTGCTATACAACCCATTCAAGCCCGGTGCTATTGTTGCCAGTCAAATTCGACGGAAAAATTTAAAAAAAAAAAATTCGCAAAAATTCCTCTTCTCGATCGCGCTAAGATTTGGTAGAATGCGTGAAAAGACAATTGTCCAGTTTCACGGCAAATTAATAAAAAACGTAGAAATATCTAAATTATGAGTAAAATAAACTAACTAATAAAATAACTAAGCTGTCAAAATCAGACTAANTCGCTTTTTCGAACTGGTCCATGTTTTTAACGTGGTCTATGTTTACTTATAACTTAATAGAATTACACCTGAGGCCAAAAATGCTTGGTAGTCAGAGCAACAATGCTGATCAACTGAGTAGTCAATTCGTGACACCCGTACAGGTAATTCCCGCGAAAATCGTCTCGGTTGATTGCATACGCGCCCTAGGGCTGTCAGTCAAGAGGTAAACTTTTACTTCCGGCGAAAACGTAAAACCACCCTTTCTCCGCCAATATTTAATCTTTTTCAATTTTTTTTTTTCAGAAATTAGAGATTATTCTTCGACCACCACTTTGACCCAAAATTCCAAATTTGAAGAAAATTGCCGACCTGAGGGTATATTGTAACCTTAAGCTAAAACTACTAATATTGGTTAGCACAAAACCACGTAGTGGCCAAAAGTTCAGACGACCTTCAAATCAAATGAATTGTTCAATTATCGTCGGTATTTGCCGAAAACAAGATCGCCATGGGGCTAGAGAAACTAGAGTAATCCTTTTTCTAACGAAAAGGCAAAGAAAAGATACAAAGCACACTTAGTTATTTCTGAGCAGAAGCTGGCGCCTAAAGCTAGGAATCCATGCAAAGCTTTGCGAAACATCAAGTCGACGTTTTGGGATACAGGAGCAGATAATTAAGAAAATCCGGCGTTGCGACGCGAAAAGGAAGCGACTTAAATGAAAAAAGAAAGTTACGTGTTAAAGTAGATCCCGCTGATTTAAGATTATCTCTCAATTTACAGCAGGTGTGGTAGGGGCGATTGCAGCAGATTCTATACCATTTGTGGCAGGCGGAACAGCTGGGGTTTCGGCTCTCGGCGGTACTGGAGGATTAGGCGGAACGCTTTTAGGCTTCTTTCGTCTGGGAGACCGAATTAAACAGTCTTTTCCAATCAGTGATTACAAGGTAGACTGCTGGAGGAAAAAATTGCGAGGCAATGTGCTAAAACTTCACACAGATTGCAGAGGTCTAATCAACAAGGAAATCAAACGGTTTGAAAAGGAAGCCTCCAAGAAGCTGAAAGATGCCGAGGCCAAGAAGATAGAAAAAATCAATAAACTTCGCGAGAAGAAGCACAACTTAACCACTCGGGCTTTAGAAATGCAGGAGAGTCACACGCACCTCATGGAAACAAACACAGAATTTGATGAGCTGCTGGCTGAGTAAGCATTCACTCGTAACAGTTGTAAATCATTTGTAATGTGGCGTTTATAAGTTAACCAATCTGAAAAAGAAAAAATAAACGTGCAAAAGATCACAAATAAGCGTTCCAGGAAAACTGATACTTATTATGACTTTGGCGTTACTTGAACGATGCTCTGCCAAGTGAGCTATGATGCCTCTTATTAATGTTTTTGTGTAATGTGAGGAATAATTATAAAAACAAATGACGCATATAAATGCGGTGATTTGGGATTGAGGACATAGGAATTTTACTCAAATACATCCACATGTTTCATTTGCATTAACAAGTCACCTCTCGTTCTATTTCTTACACAAGAGCCTACTACATTAACTCTTTACACTTGATTATTTTTTTCTTCTAATTTCATGCATCAATTGCATCAATTGATCTGACTCGGTCTCCTTACCAAAATGCTTTGTAAAAGCCCAATCGTCTCCATGGTATATAAACTAAGTACAAAAAGAAAGTGAGCTCAAATGGTAATAAACTGCCGTTGGAAGTAAATAACTTAATAATATAAAATGTTTGTTGCTCTAGCACACTTGATTTAAACTTTTCTTCACAGATTGCTGAAAGCTGACGAGGAATCACGCGCCGGGAAAGCAGCTACATGGTGAGGCAAAATTACATACATACAATTTCAGTTCACCTAGTCTTTGGTCCATGGAAAACGGGAAACAAACGGCTTATCATAGTTTGATCTATAAAGGAAATTAATATATATTTTTCGTCCCCAAAATCTTACAGACAAATTCGATACATGAAAAATGCGTGAAAGGTAAATATACGTTTCAATTCTCAGCTATACATTTGCTTACTTTGTTGACGATATCCGGTTTGATACATTTGGATCCCTCAAGGCTTCCGGGAGACCCCCGGCCTTGCAAAAGACTCGTTTTTGCAATCAATTCTCGCTACATCAGCATTTCCACCCTCGAGACTCGTTTACATAGTTGCGATTTGTTGCCATGGTCGGGGCAACGACCTAAAACGAGTCTCGATCCCAAGTCCCCAGTCTCATCGTGTACAACGAGTTCAATACAATACACCTTTTTAGCTTGGACGGTTTGTTGTCCCATTTCATGCCATGTACGTGATGATACTCTCGAGAATTCTTGCTTTCTTTTTTCAGTTTGTCGCGTGTATGTGAATGAATAATTTTAAGATGGATAAAAAAACAGGAGCCATAATCGGGGACGGAGACCGTAAGCGCGCGCCATTTCAAGTATTGGGGTTGTCCCCATGATATGGGACAATAATTCTATTTTTAGNAGGGTTAGCTCAAGGGAAATATTTGAAGACAGCAGAGATAATCAACAAAGTTAAGGTATCGCTTTCTGTAATCAACCGGAATAACGATTTCGATTTAATTGTTCGAGTTCTCAAAATTCCTTGACCATTTCGTTTTCGCAGTATGCAATCTCACTGTCAGTGAAGAAACGCATATGATTTTATTGGCCTTTTGGCGTTGGCGAAAATCGTCGCAGCATCTCAGCACAAAAGTTAGCGAGCGAGATTTGTTGACAATTGAAAACACTTCATCCATAAAACTTCCGTAAGGACGCCAAACAATCAGAAACAATAAGGAACCATAGAAAACAGATTTGATTAAGTATTGTTCTGAGAAACTCTCAAATTAACTCGAAACCTTACCTATAAGCTTTATTCATAAGTCAGAGGAAATGCAAAAGCTTAAGCGTACAACTACGCGAGCAGATCTTAATCGAAGCACGAAATTGATGTCCTGTTTGCAACCCTAAATTTCAACCCTGAAAAATTTACTTTTTTCCCATTGTTTCAGAACAATAACAAACGGACGCTTATTCAGTTAAATTTCTCGGAATTTCTTTAGAAATCTAAGTTCCAGATTGTGAGTAAGCGGAATCTGCTCGTTTTAGTTAACTCCAGTCTAATGATTCACACCTTTTTGCTGGGATCCGGTTGTAAGCTGCAAGTGACAATTCAGTCCGCGCACAATTTAGCCAACTAGTTACCAGCCATAATACCTGACTGAGTGCTATTACACCTCAGTGAACGTGATCCATTCTAAATTGTAGTATATCGATAGTGACAGCCCGATAAACAAGTAAACTCTTGACTCGCTTTCAGGAAATGCTTTATCCAACTCAAAAAGTGAAAAGCGCGCAACAAATTTCCTGCCCTTTCACATCACAACCTCATTGTAAAATGTACCACATCATTCAGTCGATTGAGAAAATAATTTTTCCATCCGACCTCATTGGATACGAGATGTTTCTAAAAAATTCGGCCCTACGCGCCTCGTTTGTTATCTATCACCTCGTATCCAGCGCAGGTGCACAAAATAATGTTTCATCAATTTTCGAAGGTTACTTAGAAATCTACTTGATGAGGCCGACTATCACCTCATAGCAATCGAGGGCGAATAATTTTGAATTGTTTAAGTAGAATTCCAACTAAATTTCCATCAAATAACGTTTACTATTTTTTTTTATTACACATTAAAAGTCGTGATAAAATTCGCGATTTTGCCAGTAAAATCGAGCTGGGATTGAATTGAAACTTGCATGCAACCGTTGACGCGCGCCCATCAGTTCATTGAACAATTTTGAGGTTATAAAGTCGGACCAACTAAGTCGCGCAACGGTCAATTTCCTTTGTTTAGTGTTTTGGGAATTGACTTATGTCCAGTGATATTGCTAAGTCTTTCTCCGAAACATTGGCAAACGAGAAAACTTCGCCATTATGTAGGCGACCGCCAGCCACTGCTCAATAACCAAACAGTGGGGTGTTTCTCTCGAGGAAGGGTCGGCTGATGGTAGCCCCGCGGAGATTTGGTGTTCTTGAAACAAATATTTACCCGAGAAGCGAAGCAGCTTCAAGGACAAATATGCTAGTTTTAAGAGCATCAAATTTCCAAGGGGTAACTATCAGACCAATGATTCCGAGACATAAACACTCTGTTGTCTTCAGTGTTCATTAATAAATTTTCTCCCGCCCACCCGTTCAAAAATCATATTAAATTTTATTATATGGCTAGCTCCGCGAGCGGACAAGATGAATCAATTCCTGCGCTGTGATTGGCTACACGAGCGGGCAAAATGGAGCTATCTTGCCCGCTCGGTACTACCCGCCGTGTCCCGCAAGAAAAATTTCCCTGAAAGCCATATAATAAATCCTTTATTGACCAAGCTTGTTCGTTCAAGATGGCTGGATATTGGCCTCGTTCTTTTTTCGCGAGTTTATGGACCTCGACTCCCTCTCGGTCCATAAACACGCAAAAAAAAAAAAACTTGGCCAATATCCWGCCATCTTGACCTCACACTTGGTCAATAACTCATACATCTTAACCTTTTTTGGATGAAAGGCGTGAAAGGCAAATGTAAAGTATGAAAAAGAAAACAGACGAAAACTCACTTAACACAATTTCAATTTTTTTATGAAATTGTATTAAGTGAGTTTTCGTCTGTTTTCTTAAGTCCGCTTGTTTACAGAAAAATTTTCACGGACGAGTACTAACCAGCCGGGTATTTTCATCGGACAAGCACTATGGGTTGATAGTGTCTCTCCGCGGATGAACACTATCACGTCAAGTTATCGATTTAAACCGATAAGAATCGGAGAAAATTTAGTGATGAACTATAATTAAGCAATTGACCACTCTCTCTATGTGTTTACCGGCGCAATAAACCACTTGGGATGTTGGGAGAACACTCGAAAAGCTTGTAAATCACTCGCCCAACGGTTGGTGATTTACAAGCTTCCATATTGTATTTCTAGGCGCTTATATTTATCTATTTCTTTGACCAGCGAAGCGATTTTGTGTGGTTAACTGCTTCGCTGCTGGATGAACCCACAGTCTGTTGAAGTTAAGTTACACTTACTCAGTACATGTACATAAAGGGGCACCCAGCGAATATGTTCCTTTAAACATCTGTTTCCCTGATATACTTTTGTTGGCTGTTTAACCTTTTGTAAGTAGGCTTTTTTTTCCTGGGAAATCATCGCTGAGAAAACTTTCTTTTCTTGAAATTTGACACATGGAAATTCGGTGCTTGCTGGGGCAAGATCCAAAGAGTATCTGCCACGGACGTTTAGAGTGTCAGTTTAAACGCATAGGACGGATGGTTTGGTGCAATATCTGCAACAAAAAACTCATGTCTGTAGACGGTTATGCTTCTCTGGCTGGGAAAAGTTAAATGTTTTTTTTAACAGTCGTAACCATGACGCTGAGAAAAACGAACAAAAATACCTTAAATGCGTCATATTTGTCTGTAATGAAGAGGATAATGATTTTTAGCAAATGTTTTCGTTGGGTGCTCCTGTATATAAAAAACACTTCACTGTTACTATGATTAGTTGGTCAATAATTCAAGTCAGGTGCATATTCAGAACAGAATTGATTTCGTTAGCAGGAAGGAATTTTTTTCCTTTAGTGTTAATGCTCGCGTATGTAATCAGTAACACTTGCAGTGTTAAGGAAGAGGTCACCGTAGAATTCGTCTCCAGTTGTACTATGGGAACGTGGGAACATTTAGATCAGGATGCGCAGACTAGAGTGATCACACGTCTTGATTATTTTAGTGTTAGCAGGGGGAATGACAACTCTTCAAAGTTAGAAAGTTCCTCGATTTAAAGACTCCTTGGCCACTGCGTTTATGGCATGTATTAATTATTAAGGAATATTTAGGGTTAACGTGCTAGCTAGACATGTTCTGGTAGTTTCAACCCTAGCAAACTACTAGTTAATTGCTAGAGAGCTAGCAATAGTTACAATTAAATTATATTCCTATATCTATATTACCTTGTTTATCCAAGCTTTAAACGTAACCACTGGTTAAAATCAAACATAAACCTATATACATGTATTGCTTTGTTTAACCATACATGGTTTCCTGTATTTTTACACATTTATTTAGGTAAGCCTTAATTAACTAACACGTTTGAATACATTTATGTACACGACGCTTGCTGGTCACTGGTCATGGACTGATGACAATCGCCAACATTGGATGACAGATAGACGCTAAAAGGGCATGTTCAAGACTCACGATGATTTATAATTACTTTAAATGGAACCATTCTTTTGTCGAAAGTGCATGGTGGAGGATTACAACATACTGGGGGTCTTACATTTAACAAAAAATTCCGGTTTGAATTTCTGGAACTTTAATTCCAGTGGTGCATAGAATAGCGTTTTTCGATGACAACCACGCGAGGTGTGGTACCTCAATTTGACCAATGTCATACCAGTTTAAGGATTTAGCGATTGAATGGTTCCCACATCGGAAACTTAGCATTTCACGGATCTCTTAGAACCTTTTCGAGGAAATTTCCCCACCATTCGCCCCGTTCCTACTGTTGCGGAATTTTTGGTCCAATGTAAAACACCTTGAATTACTATTTTATTGATTATTGCGTGCAAAGTCCTTGGCTTCAAAATTTCATTATTGTCTTGCAGGCTCCATTCTCGGTCAGTCGGTGATTTATTTTTTTAGCTGTTTTGCTTCCTGTTTATTTTTTTTAAATCTGATAGAACAGCCTTCAACAGTTTTCTATTGCTGGTTATTACACTTAATCGAACTTTTTTACCATGCGCAAAGTCGGCCAAAAATCCGGAAATTTCAGGTTAGAGACTTCAGGACAGTAGACAAGCTATTTGATTGGCTAACGGCGAAGTTGGGGACGGTACGAAAGTTATATTTGTTCCGCAATTAATAACAACAATAATCTGTCTGTATTTTTATAAACAATTATTGGATGAGGTTTTTGTGATATCCAGAATGATCAACGTCGAGGTAGGGGTTATCAGCCGAAGCAGAAGGCTGAGGCTGATAACCCTTACCGAGACCTTGATTATTCTGGATATAACAAAAACCGTAGCTAATAATTGTTTTATCATGCATTGAACGAAAAACAAAATGGAAGTCATATTTTTGCTTATTCACTGACGGCAAGCAACACAAAGCGCGCGAACTTGACATGATTACCCTTAGAAATCATGCACCGCGGTCATCTATGACATGATTACCCGTGACCTTGAGTGTCCTTGACGTGATTATTGTATAATCTGCAGCTAGATGACGTCACAGGCGCTATTATCGAAAATTCACTGTTCGCTTTCGGCCAATTAGAAAAGAGATAGTGAGTTCAATGTATAATAATACGAGTAATTAGCCAAATCAGGCGATAGGAAAGCAGCCATAAGTTTGATTTGCCAATCACAAATAAAGAGCGAATTGTACCACGAAAAGTACTGTAACTGGTTCTCAGTCATAACTATAACAAACACAACTTTGGAAAAGAGGAAACAACGAAATATTACTGCGTCCTGGAATAAGACACCAATTCTGCTCAATTTATAGTTGTATTTTCCCTGTCGTCGTTCATCTTAGTGTCATCTTAACGGATGGTCGCTTCAATGGCTTCAAAAGGTCACGTTTGTGGCTTGTGAATGGTAGATTTTGAACTATTTTCTTTGTTTCTTTTTTTTGTACCAAGTTTAATGTATCCTTATTGTGACTGCTCGAGTAGTTTGTTATAGTTAGGATGATTGTCATTGTTTAATAGTTTCGTAATTGTAAAATCTTGTAGTCTTTGATGCAAGTGTTGTTTAGCAAAATCGCAACATCAAATGTAACCCAAGATCTAGTAATAGCCAATAAAGATCACAGTTGCTTAATTGAATATTTATGATCAGGATGTCCATTACATTGTATTATTCTTGTTTCAAAAATGACCATTTTAATATTGGATTTAGAGCCTTTGGGGTGTAGATCTGATCACCGAGTGGTTTTTGTTTTACACGCGCTATCGCAATCTTACAGAAAACAGAAGGTCTAAACGGCAGACTTGCAGGCTTACGG